TGTCCAGGTCCCTCTGGATGGCAGCGCAGCCCTCTGGGGTATCAGCTACTACTCCTCCCAGTTTCATGTCATCAGCAAACTTGCTGAGGGAGCACTCTGTGCCTTCATCCAGGTCATTGATGAATAAATTGAACAGGACTGGACCAAGGACTTGACCACTGGGGGACCCTGCTAACCACAGGCCTAAATGAACTAGACTCTGCACCGCTGATCACCACTCGCTGCGCCCTGCCATCCAGCCAGTTCCTAATCCACCTCACTGTCCACTCATCTATGCAACACCTTGGATGCATGCGTGTAAAAAACAAAAAGTGTTGACATATCAACATCCCCTTGAGTGTCTTTGGTTCCCCTTGAATCAAAAAAAAAAAAAAAAAAATCTGTACTTTACCATAGAAGAAGGCAGTAAGAAAGCAATGTCACTGGTAAAGGAACTATATAAGAAGTTTACAGAACGTTATTTCACGTTTCATTTAAGTATGTGGAGATTTGACTTCAGAGAAAGGTCTTGTAGGTACTTTGCACTTAGGACTGGAATGGGTCAAGTATTGGTTTGCTGGACAGAGATTGGATGGTGCCTGTGTCTCAGCAAGTCCCTCACCCAGCAGCCAGCACCCTTGGTCAGTGGTGTCCTAGAATTCCTTCCAGCAATTGGTCTCAGTAGCACCTAAAAGCAGCAAGGGTTTCTATACTTGGTGTCTCTGCTGGAAAGGTGCTCCAGGACTTCATACCCTTGATGATCAGTGACACCTGCTTTTGTTTCACCTCAGGTTTTATCCCTGTTTGTTTATACATCAGTGTTGCATTTCAGCTAAACTGAATGGTGTTCAGTTTCAGCTTGTGTTTTTCTGATGCACTTATCAAGAATAAGGTACTTACTCTTTATCTTGTCACTGACCCTAGAACATTTAAACACAGTTTGCAAATGCAGGTAATTAATTCTCAGCATCTTGGGGGTAAGTCTTTGCACCTTCATAAGGATCTCTGAGAAACTCTTTGAGCTCTTTGGATTTAAAGCACCATCAAGGTTCAGTTATGCTTGGATTTGTAAACATAAGGAGAACTAACTTCTCTCTAGAGATCACTTTGACTGGTTGCTTTGTATATACTCTGCTGAACTGTAGTTTTAAAAAACTTGTTTTTACCAGTATCCCTGATCATTGTACTGAAAGCTGTAAGAGTTTGTTGACTTCCATTCTAAAGGCATAAGGCAATTCTGGATTCTCCTTTTCCCTTTCAGTGCAGTTTTTGCATTCATAGAGAGAGAAAACTCATTATTTCTGATATAAATATATGCAAATAAATTTATTAATATAGGAAATGGGAAAATCAGTTATTGCTTCCTTTATAAATAATACAGGCTTAAGTTTTAAAGATATTACTTTTCCCTAAAATGAATTAGACAGCCAGGGAAAAAATCACATTTTTTCGTGGTGGTAATATCTTTAACTAGATTTGTCGCGCTAACAGCATTTCCTATGTATATATTATTTTTATTTAATACAGGTAATCTTTTTATTACAAATCATATTGTTTCTCTGGAGATTACCATCAGCTCTCATAAAAGCTGCAAAAAAGATGAAAAAGCATCAATCACCACCAGACACAGCACACTGTGTGCAGATTAAATATACAAACCCCTTTAATATGCTTCAATGAGGTACTTGTTAACTGTTGATTTATTTATAGTCCTCCTTCTACTCTGTTTTAATTTTGCTTTGAATTTGACTCCAAGGGTCCCTGCCTAATAATGATCAAGAGCAGGATGACCTTGTGCATCAGATTAATTCCAGCTTGGCTTTCTCATGTGATTTTAGCTACTTTTTCACTCATAGTCCCTTGAGTGGATGTGGAAAGTCTCCACAATTGTCAGTGGAGTAGAGAAGAAGGACAGAAAACACATGGAAGCATAGTGGGAAAGTGTCCTAGAATAAAAGCCTGTCAGAATTCACCTTGTGGGGAACTGCAGGGGGTCTTTTTACGTGGAAGTTGTGCTGGATTTTTGTGGGAGTCTGTCTCAAAAGATGGGATACCTAGAGGATAATCAACTTCTCTGTTGTGCTTCCTTATGTGTGCTTCCTTATCTATGAGAGTAATTTCTCATTACCAACAGATACAGCCACATGTCACATTTCTGAACATCTAGTTCTCAGGCATAGTGGAGACTAGATCCAGAGGAGTTACAAAATCCAATACCAGATGCTTATGATGCATGAAGAGTGGTGTTTGCAGTCTGAAAGCAATGTAAGAGCTACTGCTCAGAGTGAAGATGGCTTAGCTGCTATTTTTGTATTTAATAGATTGAAAGTCAAAACTTCAACTGTCCTCGTACAGAAGGATGGTGTTCTACCAGCCTGGTGTGTGCAACGCTCTAAAGGCAGAAAGAAAAGTAACCAAAGGGTATTGGAATTTCCCAGGAGGTCACATACAGACAGAGCCTAACTACGAATTGGTCCTTATTTGGCCTATTGCCCCACAAAGATTTTTGTCATCTGAAATTTATCTTTTTTTTTTTTTTCTTTTCCTGTACGTGCTCAGGTTACTTCTTAGCCTCCTGTAGTTTTGCATACTTAAATCCACCTGGGGTGGATGTTTCTTATGAAATAAAACCACCTCTTGCTCATATGCATGAAACCAACTGGTGGCTTTTCATTTAGGAGTGCTGTGGCTAGTCAAGGCAGTAGGCATGATGCATTCATTTCTGTCTGACAGCCTTTCTTACCACCAGTTTAGCTGGTCTTCCAGCCTCTTCAGATAAGAAAGTTCAAGGACCGGGCCTGAGGTTTAGCTTACTATTAATTTAAACCTTCAGTGACTAGATGATCTCTAGAGGTCCCTTCCAACCTCAACCATTCTGTGAGTCTGTGTGAGTGATGTAAAACATCTATATCAGAGCTGCTGGTTGCGCTGTTGTTCCTGTTTTGCCTGTGACAGGAGCTCTGAATGTCATTCAGTGTTGGCCACAGGACTCAGTCCAACACATCTTCGTGTTTTGTGTAACTGGGCAGAAAAACAGCAAAATAGAAATCAAGCCCTGCTATCTTCACACATACCTGTATGACCTTTCTTTCTGTAATACCTGTATACCTCACATTCATTAATAGTCATACTCATTAAGTTATTCTTGCATCACCTCTGGTTTTACTGGGTCTGTTCTGTCATCTCATTGGCCTGTTCCCTACCTCATGAAGCCACTTTGAGGGTTGAGCGATTGAATGTGAGCAACCATGCAGATGTTCATACTGCACCGCAGAAATGTTTAAAGACAATTGCAGTATCTCTGACCAGGTCCCGTGGGCCCTGGCAGTGGGATGTAGTGTTGTATTCATGGCATATGATCAGAGTTGACTAACCACACTGAGAAATACAAACACGTTAGCCTGGGCACATGCTGCCATGGGGCAGTGATACTGCTGCCAGTACCTGAGCTAGATGTTGAGAAACAGGTTGCTTCTGTCATTTCATGTAGTTAAGGCAGATTTCTTGTAAGTCAGCTTGTTCTTGCTTAGGTAGATCTGCAAAAACAAATCTATGTAGCTATTTCTGTTATAATATTTATTGATAAAATTCATATGTTGGTGCTTAATATAAGTATCCCTATATGAATGTTAGCATGGGATTTTCACAAATGCCTGTAGTATCTGAGATCCTGATGAAAATGCATCTAGGAGATACAGCTCCAATCTTCATTAAGTACTTTATTTTTGTTTTCCAATTAAGACTTTGATTCAGAACAATGTCCTAGTCTAGGAAGGCTGTTCTTAGCTATACCTTGCCTCTTAAATTAAAACAGGTTTAAATGATCTCAGGACTGTGCATGAGACAGCTTTTCTCTTTGCTCCTGTGCCAATTCAGCGTTGAGCCCAGGCGTTGTTCCCCTTCCCTTCCTCCTTGTGTTTTTGCCTCCTCCCCATGTGCATTGAATAGTTTTGGCTGACATCTGCCTACAGGGCCCAAGCTTGCCTTAATATTATTTGGGTGGTATCACACTTTCCCAAGGGCTTTTTTTTCCCTGGGGGATTGCACACAAGTTGAGTCACAGCTAAAGAAATAAAGCAAGGATGTGTCTTCTGCTTATAAAGCACTTCAGGAAGAAAGGAACAACTTACCTCTAGAAGCATTAATATTGGATACTCTGATATTCCCAAGCTGCCCTGCGTTGTTTCTGATTGCCTTTGTGTTATTACAATGTAGACAAGGTCTCCAGGCTTGATGGCATTCTCTTTTTGCATATTTCCAAGTCAGCACTGAGACAGCACTGAATAGGGTCACCCAAAATAGAGCTGAGTCAGATCTTGAGGTAATCACCTAGTCAAATAAGTAACGAAGTTGATATTTCATCATTAACAAGACTGTGCATCTGCTGGATTTTTGAGAGAATATTCACTGTTTTCTGTCTGTCTTCATGTCGCAGGGCGGGAGCTTTGATGTTGCAGACAGGATGTTTCACAGTGTCAAAAACACATGGGAGTCGGCATCAAGAGACAACATGAGTGATGTCAGGGAACTCATCCCTGAATTCTTCTACTTACCGGAGTTCCTAACCAATGCCAATCACTTTGAACTAGGTAAGTGCTAGAAAGGACTTCAGTGCTTACTCTAAAGGACTTCAGCGCCCTCCTTCCCCAGGATGCCAAGAGAAAAGATCCAAACTGTGGATTGAGAACCAGTCCCTGAACTGTGTAATGAGGCTCTTTAATGATATGAGATCAATTCCTATTATCAGGAGGCTTCAAGAATCAAAGCTTCTGGTATACAAATGATGCATGCAATAAACAGTGTGTTTGCAGGCTCAGAAGGGCCTATAATCTATTTGTTTGCTGTGTACAGGAAATGCACATTTTATCAGACAAGAGAGTGTTAAATTTGACTGTTCTGGTGGTTCAAGTTGCCAACCGATCTCACTATCACCATGAAAAAATTTGTAAGGGTCCTCATGCACTTGATCTGTAGCCTCTGGCCTTGGGCAGTATCGCAAACCCTTCTGAATGTACACTGCCTCTAGACCCTTTATGCACTAGTGATGGATATTTCTAGGCAAATCAGTATTCAAAAATAGGCCATTGAGTGTTTCAGCCCTGACTCTTAACAGCACTTTACAGGCAACCCGCATTGTTTGCAATACAAAGTTTTGTATTCCAGTGGATGCTGTTTGGCTAACAATTAAAGTAGAGATAAAATATCTAAAAAATCATCCTAAGTCAGTGACAAGAAAGTCAGTGATTTTGAGGTCCTGTTTTAAACTATTTGTACTTAAGATTTCAGTGGATTGAGACCTATGCCAAGGCAAGAACAGATTATGAAAATTTGTCAGAAGACTGTTAAAAGCTAGTAAAGATGTGGGGTAGTTTTTGCCTCAAAAGGAGGCCAAGTAGCAGAGCCTGGCTGAAATCAAGATCCTGACCTGGATGCAACCAAGTGAAAGTAACTAAGAGGCATCAGAAAGTCATGGATAGAGAGCAAATATACAAGAGGATTTTGTAATCTTGTAGACAAAAAACAGAGCAAATTTTCACTGCTGTGCTGTTAGGACACCTGATGTTCAGACCTGAGCCTCAGTTTAGATGTACATTTGTCCAGGCTTGTTACACTGTGCCCTGATTTAGAAACATCTGCTCACCTTCAGAAATGAATCAAATAGCAAAAGTCTTGACAGCACTGTACTTCCCAGAGTTAAGCCCATGGGATATTTTATAAGAAATTGGGCCAGCAGGTTGGTCTTCTCTGAGTTTGCAGTTGGGACTAAAATGGTTTATGCTGAGGGCATGGATATTTCTTTACTGTATCAATGACAGTTGCTAGAACATCCTCTCAGTGATTTTTTTTTAATAGATAAAAAATCCCAAGAGAAATTGCTTCTACAGTATTTTATGACACTGTATTCCATGTGGGACTTAAAACTGTTTTTGAGAAAAAAAACTTTCACTTCACTGTTTTGGGTAAGTTTTTCCCAAGTACAATATATTTGATTCTTGTTTCTAATTTTTCCTTTGTACTCCCTGCAGGCTGCATGCAGGATGGAACAGTGTTGGGAGATGTGCAGCTTCCCCCTTGGGCAGATGGTGATCCCCATCAATTCATTCACCTGCACAGACAGGTGAGTGAGTAGCAAGTTTTGTGGCACAGTGGTGATGCACACATGCATGCAGTGTTTAAAAAGGTCCACTTATCACCAGTCAGCTGCCTGTTTATTTGAACGATCCACCTTCATCTCCGAGTCATTCTACACGTATAGTTAGAGAGGAGGTTGGTGGTTTGGGGGTAAAATCCAGTGTGATTTACTGCGTTCCATGAAGTCATCCTTAGCAATCTGAAAGCAAATAGTTTTAAAGGTCCAGGGCTCTACCTCAATTAGCGCTGTTCATTAATAAGAACAATGTCTTTAAGAAGTCACCAAAGATGAAACTGTCTAGTAATGGGTGCAAAGGCAATTCCCTATGAAGTTTGTTGGATTAAACGCATAATTTGTAGCTGAGCGTTATGATGCATATCTCTGTTAGACAAAGAAATTAGCTGGACTGCATTGCCTTTACTGAAAGTAAATACATTATCTTATGTGATGTCTTACAGTAGAGGGAGTCGATCAATATTTGTGAGTGTCATACATACTGTTGCTATATACAAGACTGTGGGTTGACTATCTATATTAGCATTGATGCAACTAAGCAAGCCCATGATTTTCAAGGCATTGCATCCTCCTGGCTTGTCACTAGTATCTGCAGTTTCTTTCTCAGTGGGTTCTTCTGCTCACTTCTACACGTAGAGTCCTGCCTTTGGAGGTTCAAGTCTCACTCTCTAATTTTTTTTAGCTTGTAGTTAAAACTGATAGTAAGAGTGAGACTGTTTAACTTGATGAGTTTTCGCATGTGTTCAGGATACTTCTAGGACTAGACATGGGCCTGATCTGAGCCTGTGCTTTTCTTCGTGCAGTGCTTCTGTGCAGTAGCCTTGCCTTTGTTTCTGGCTCAAGACTGTTGAGCACATAACTTTGGTATATACTTTCTAAAAAATCATTTCAGTCATTTACAAAATGTAATTGAAGAGTCTGTTCTGTAGTCTCAATACACAAAAGCTTGTGAATTAATGATATTCCAAGATATGTGGTGTGGAGAATAGATACTTACTACTACTAGTATGTCTCAAGTGTCTCCATGCCTCGTAACCTGACTCCATCGTGAGCTGTCATACTGTTTAGTAACCCAAACCAGTATATTTAATTTACAGCATACTCAGTAACCAATCAGTCCTTTTTCAGAAGCTACATCAATCTTCATGTTCTTTGTTTTATATTTCAGTGTTGGTTAGATGTGTAGCTTAGATCCCAGCCCTGCGTTACTAGGCAGGCAGCATTCAGTGAATGCAGGGAGCAGTTTTTCTCTGGAACACTAGTTCGGTTGAAATGTGACTGTATCAGGAACATCAAGAAAATCTTTCAGTAGATCACTTCAACATTCTGTCTTAGTTACCAAACCGTTTCTAAGGGACCTTTTCATTACAACATTCATATTAGATTGCAGGCAGAATTTAAAGTATTTTTATGATACAGCTATTATTAATACCATTTAGTGTATAGTTTTCGTTATCAATAAAAGGATGTAATTTTTCCAAATTAATCATTTATTTTTTTCTGGATGCATGAGAAATTTTGAGAGTTGAGCTATTTATTGTTTTTTGAAAGAAAACACCATATCAGAATTTTTTCCAGAATGTAATTTCCAGTTTTCAGTCAGTGCTGGCAGGGAGAAAAAAAAAATGCTCTATCCTCTGCCTGTTGGCAACCTGCTAGCTTAAGGAGGCAAAGAAAGGAGACAATGTTTTTGCCAGACAGGGAGCTGAGATGCAGAGAGATACTTCAGGCAGCCGAAGTTCTTAACGTGTGCCCAGTAATAGGTATTATTGAGTCACGGTGGTGCTCAGGAAATGATTCAAAGGCTCAGAGCTCTAGCGGCCTGGAATGGTGGTGGAAGAGACCTGAGCCTCAGTCAGTGCCTGTCACCATGTCACGGTGCATGTACAGGGAAGGAGGAGACCTTGTTGTAAGTGTTGTGTGTGCTGTAGGCTGCCTGGCAAGCATGGTCCGTGCTCAAATGAAGAGTTGAGCTAGGGAATGCCTCCCTTGCAGGGCAGCAAGTTTGTGCTACTCCCTGATATGCTTTTGAAATGCATCTCCCAATTACTCCTGTTTAGTGTGGTTTTGTTTCCACTGGTTGGAGAGTGATCTCTGTATGAACTGTTCTACTCAATTACTTTCTTACAGAATGAAACCAGTATCTATCTTCCATGTGTGCACCTAAGACTAGAGCTAGCCTGGCATAAAGCACCCAAGGTGCACGCAGTGTGGATGCTGGGACCCCGGTAACACTGTTTTGTTCTGCTGACTTGCTTCCACTGAGCTGCATTCTTTGGTAATACAGGCACAGCTGATAAAGCCAGAAAACTTGTACTAATTAATTCACATCTCAAATAGAAGCAGTTGAACAAATGGAAAATGAGATTTATAGACTTATCTTCTTAATGATTAGACCCAATGAGACCTGAAGTACATTCAGTCCAATGTTCTCTTTCCAGCATTAGCTAGTGCCATATGTTACCCAGGAAGGTGCAAGCTTACCTATAGAAGTTTCATTCTAATTCTGAAGAGTTGGAGATCTTCAGCTCTAAAAGAGCTTCTGTCTCCACTAAATCAGCTACAACATTGGATGTACTTGTTTCTGATATGGTCGTTTTTATGAGGCTTTGCAGAGAGTCTAGACAAAACGGATCAAGGTAATCACTGTAAGGAAGCCTGGCTAGTGCTTTTAATAATCTGAGAGGAAATAATTGTTTGTGAGATATAACTGTGATCGGTTCTATGTTTCATTTTTAATAAATTACGAGTTTTATTTGTGTAATTTTCTTGCTGTCTCTTTTGGCTGCAAGTTCTCCCCACCATGTCTAGGCCACATAATGTCACAGTGCTCAGTGAGAGGTTGAGCGGCTACACCCTTGTACCTCAGTCCATCAGTTGTTTTGTTTTGCTATGGAAGTGGTGACAGACAAAGTTTACAGTTTATAATTCATGCATTAACAGCTTTTATTAATGAGGATGAGTTCCGAGTCTGGTCGTAAATGTTTACTTGTTGTTTTCAAGGGACAGATTATGTGCTGTACTTGTTCTCTGAGCTGCCCTGTGATCTTTATAGCTGTGGGCAGGGTCATTTAAAGCCGCTGCACTGGGCTAAGTATCTGCTCTGTGAAATGAGCCAGTGTTCTGCTTCCCATTAGCCTATTTATTTCAGCTTTTCTTTGAGTGGGCAGCTCTGTCTGGGAGACCTTTAACTCTGCATCCGGGAGCACTGCAGAATGAAATAATTTGGAGAAGGACAAATGTTTTTAATAATGCTCAGCACTGCTGATTGAATCATTGGGCAGCACCAATGTCTTGAGTTGCAGCACTCCTAGCCATTTCACTACAAGCCATGTATGATCCTTTGCCTGTTCATGGCACATACCTTTTCCTACTGTACCCTTCAGATCCAATTTAAAGCCTCTCTGTCAGTCATCTGCCTTTCCTGTGTGTGCTTATATGTGTTGCTTCAAATGAATTCTCTGTCACTTCGTGGTCCATGACAGACTTCTACAAATTGACTAATACCTTAAATCATCTGTGGTTTGAATATAGACCAAAATGGTGATAACAAATGCTAGTAAATGTTCTGTTCCTGTAAGTCATCTTGTGTCAAGAGCAGTATTGGTGAAGACATGGTAGCACAGGTTGCAGTGTGCATTAGAAAACTGAGAATGTGTCAAGATCTAGATGATAGTGTTCGTACTCTGCTTACTAGAGAAGCAGAGTATTGTGTCTGGCAATATTGTTGCTGGTGCCTGCTAAGTCAGGCATGCCGTGCTCTGCTCTTTCTTTTCCTATGGAGATCCACCCTTAATCTGTTTGATCATGTTTTGTGAAGATGTGCTGTGAATGATGATGCTGGAGGGATTGAAAGCACGCGGTTTCAATTACTGAGAACACTGCAGAGAATTTAAGTCTTCAGCAGAGAATGAAGGGTGATGATACATCTGTAATGGGTACAGGCTATTGAATTAACTTTGCTTGGTTTTAGGCACTGGAAAGTGACTTTGTCAGTGCTCACCTTCATCGCTGGATAGATCTGATTTTTGGCTACAAGCAACATGGCTCTGCTGCAGTGGAAGCAGTTAACACCTATCACCCTTACTTCTATGGAGACAAGATGGAGCTCAACAATATCAAAGATCCTCTGATTAAGAGCACTATCCTGGGTTTTATCAGCAACTTTGGACAGATCCCAAAGCAGGTACTACTTTATCATGAGCTTAGGAGGGAAAGCAGAGAGCACAATTTATTCTGATCCAGTAGTGTTTCAACTGGAAAGCAAGAGAAGAAATCCATTTCAGAGACCATTTCTCTGACTTGAATCTACTGAAAGTTGGGCCATCAGTTGTATACTACATCAGTGTGCATCCATACCCACGTGTGTGACCGTGCACTCCAATCATGCTGCTCTTGCTGTATATTATAACAGCAGAAGTGTCAGATCTGGGTTCGGCTTTTCCAGTACAGTCACCTGAGTAACCACCACCAAGCCAAGACTAGATATAGGCAAATAAAAACAGTTTAAAGTCTCCCCTATGCTTTTCTGTCTTGCACTGAATCACTGGGATTACCCTTTCTATCTCTGTGAAGAAGGGAAGTAATTTAGTAAGAGTGAACTGACTTTATTGTAATGAAGGGTTTCATGGGTGACATTCCTTAGTATCTGATTTAGGATTTAAATAGTTGTCTCTTCTGCAGAATCTGGCAGGTCAAGATGTAGTTTTCAATGTCATGCCTTTGTTCTAGCTCTTCACTAAACCACATCCACCCAGAAAAAGGCTGTGCTGTCCCTTCACTCAAGTGGAATTCTTCCTCCATTCCTCAGCAGCCTACAGAACCTGAAGCTCTCACCGGTTATCATCAAAGGTGCTGCAAGAGCTCTGCTTTCTTTCTGAGTTGATAAGTGAAGACTTCTTAACTAAAATCTGCTTTGACCAGAGTCCCAAATCTGTATTTGTAAGACCCCAGAAACAGTCATACACCTTTACCGTAGTGTGCGTTGGTATCATCAAGATCCTATCTGGCAATTGTTGTTTGTGTATGTGTGTATTTTAAGATGACATTGAAAACGTTAAAATACAGATAAGAAATCTTAAAACTTCTCGTATAGAGCTTAGAACATAAGTTTTTATTTTACAAGATGCTGAAGCCATCTAAATTCTGAATGTGTACAATTAAGACATGAAGCTCCATATCTTCCCTTCTGGTCATCTCTTTATATTCAGAAGCAAAATAGTCTCTCTTTTCCCTAATGCCCAACCTCCAAGTGTTTTCTCTTTTCATCTTGTTCATAATTTACTACTTTTCTTAATGTGAAGAAACCTAGAAAATCACAGCAGATGTGCGTTTTGCTCCCTGGTGTTGCTCTCTATTATGTCTTTGTTCCAGAGTCTTACTGCAGAGAGACCATCGTTGACATGCCCTACATGCTTTGCTGTTTAGAGTATAAGGCAGTCTGCCCATGAAGGAGAAATTACCACCACTGCTGTTAATTCCTCTCCCTATTAAGTCCCTGGAGTGACTGGGTCACTCTGGCTGCATAGACTTACGCAGTCCATCTGAGAGAGTTTCCACTTTTCCATGTAGAATCTCACTTGAAAGGTGGATTCTGCCTGTGGGTGGGAGAAAATTACCATTACTGCTATAGAAACACAGAATGCAATATATTCTCTTTCTTGACAGACTCTCCCAAGGGAGCCATTGGGCACATTGTTCATACTGAGAAAGGTGTTCTGGCTGTTGAGAGAAACAAAGCTTTGATTCCTCCTCTTTGGAATAAGACATTCTGTTGGGGATTCGAAGACTTCACATGCTGCTTTGGTAACTATGGATCTGAGAAGGTAAATAAGAAAAAGACTAAGCATGCCAGAAGTGGCTAATACATTGTGGTTCGTGGGCTGGTTTGGGCACCCACTTCAGAGGCTGTAGGGGACTGAGTATTCAGTGTACAGAACTTTATCAAGTCAGGTTTCTTGAGGAATATCAAGCTGGATATTTCTACAGAACAAGTATTATTCATCTTTCCTGAAAATGTGGCATTTCCCCCTCTTTGGTCCCAAATTTCCTTTCAGTGACTGTGTTGTCTGTCCTACTGAAGGAGAAACCTCCTTTCATAAAATATAAGGACAGTGCCAGGTCTTTTGGCCCCAGTGAGAAATTTCATTGTGCAGAGCTTTTGGCTAGAGTTAAGATAGGGCCGTCTGTCAGTTCCCCTCTAGCTCCCAAGCTTAGCCCAGAGCATTTGTTGAACATAGTAATGTATCCTATTCTAGAAAGTTAATTTTACTTAGCTGTAAGAAATCAACATTTTATATCACCATACTGCTCATTAGGGCACTTGGCAGGTTCATTTTTTTACTCTATCAAAAACATACTGACTTAGATGTTTGGCACGGTATTATGACATGCAAAAACTTAGCTTGGGTACCCATAATAGCAAAAAACATCATTTATAAAGAAATTGGCTTTGTGTTTTACATACATACCTACAGTCTGGATTTGAGAAAGCCATGAAATATAGCATACTTTGCTCTCTATAAAATCATTTAGTTTCCACATTGGTTTCAAAATCATAGATTAAAATGATTTCTCAGCAATTTAGAAATGTTGCTGTAGCTGTAAATTACTTGGCTTGTCTCTTCTGGGTGGCCAAGAGAAGAGGAGTTTCTAGAGATGGTTCTTTTTTTGGCCCAAAGATCAAAGTCAGTACAGTATGTTTATGTGTATCCTATGAGGTTATGCTGTGTGCAGAAAAAGCCTGCATAAGATGAGTTTTTCTTTCTTAAACTTGAAGAAATGGAAATTCAGTTCTGAAAAGTAAATCTGCCATTTGGTAAAAATCAGTTCATGGTATCATCTGATGAGCATCTGACTGAAAGTTGCTTTCTTTCGCAGAATATGACTACATTTGAGTGTATGGCAGACTGGGGAAAGTGCCTCTGTGCTGTGTGTCCTTCCGCAACTACGATAATCACATCTGGAACAAGCTCTGTTGTGTGTGTCTGGGAACTTTCTTTGATCAAAGACAAAGTGAAACGTCTAAACTTGAGACAAGTGAGTTCTATGTCTTTTTTTTTTTTTTTTTTGCTATAGAAACTAATGAAGACCAGAGAATTTCTTCCCCTTAAATGAATGGCAAAGGTAACACATTAAGATTATTCAAAAAGGCAGAAGATGATGGAGATGGGAGTCATGCTAGTGACAACCTGTTATCAGCTCAGGAGCTGATAGCAGGCCTTTTACTCATGGTTTATAGTTTATATATTTTGCTTGTTTTTTTCTGGTTACAGTAGCACTTCCATAGTTGTCATGATCAAACAAGCACCTAAGGCTTAATAAGGCTATTTCCTCATACTTGGAGTGCAACTGCAGTTGTTTTTTTTGTTGTTGTCAGTGGTGTTTTTTTTTTTTTTTTAAGCCCAGTAACCTCTGGAGATGGTTTCAGTTTTGTTTTGTTTTATTGTTATTCTCCTATAGCAATAGGCAGGATCTTTAGAACGCCTTGCAAAATACCATTCTCATTAGGTTCCCAGACCAGTACTTAGCTGATGGAAAAGTCAGCTGGGCAATTGGAATTCTTGATACTTCTCTCCCAACCTAAAAGGTTTATTTCTCCATAAGGTGTACAGATGGACCCAATAGAAATGGTAAAGATTATGCCTAGACTGTTCAACGTCCTTCAGAGTTTGTTAACTGGAACAGGGACACAGAAGTGGAAGAAATAGCACCAGAGAAAAGCTTAAGCAGCAATCTTCCTGAACATCAGAACGATTCAGGTCATGGGGTCAGTTTGAAGTTCAGGCAGCTGTTTGAAGAGTCTCTTATTTACAGTATTCTGCCTTTCTCTTTAACTGTCTAGCATCAGCTTTGTTGGTATATTCCACTGTGATTAATCTGATACTACCCAAGTCCACAAAGTGGGGTGAGATCATGCTGTGCTATTTTCTTCTTTCTTTGCTAGCAGAGACTGATTTTTTTTTCTTTAAGAACTGTGGTTCTAAATGTTTCCTAAACATGCTGCCTTTTTTGTAATTCACTGTTTCATGCTGGCTGTTTTTTTTTTCTGCTGAACAAAACTATTATATCATCTTTCCTGAGAGAGTGAACTTTGCTTAAGTAAAGCTAATGTGCTATAAAGTGGATGGTATTCACTTATCAGCTGTCTCATGGGACTGAGACATTCTAGTTTGAAGTGCAGTAAAGTACAGAAACTTTATTTCAGCAGAAAAGGTCTCTCTGTTTTCTAGCAGGGGGTGATTACACAGTTTGGTGAATGCAGGAGTTTGAACATAGTAGACTCATTATTGATCCAGACAATTTGTCAGTTCCCTCACTGGTCAGCAGAGCAGTCTGGGTGAACCAACCTGCGAAATTTGGGAGTCACATGAAACACTGAATGACCTGGGAGAAGCATCCAGGCTGGGGATGCTGTGCAGATATGTCAGGAGGATGTTTGCTCCCATATCGGCTTGTTAGGCTGGATAAATTTGGTTCAGTTTTCATGGTCTGAACATTCCTGCACTGAAACTGAGGTTGTAGCTGAGCTCAGTTCTAGTCCTTTCTGCCAACACTCAGCCTGTACCTAAAGCCCTTTTCTGCCAGGCTGGATGGCTTCTGAGTTTAGAAAAAGAGAAAAAGAGGGTTTTGTTTAAACCTTTTGTAAGAGTTTGGCTTGACTGTGTTAGTACAGATGCTGCCACAGTGGATACGTTTTGCTTCATGCTTTGGAGGAAGATGAGGAAATTTGAAACCTTCTAATCTGCTGCCTTCTAGGCCTTTTTGCAGAGGTCTTGTGCTGCTCTCAAGCATGGGTATTACTTGGTTGTGGCTAACCCTGTGAAAGAAGTTATTCCACAGCCACTCCAAAACCACTGCTGTGCATCTCTTTTTGAACACATTCGAGGCACTTCTGATTTCTAAAAACTGTTGTTGGAAAGTTCATCTTGTGCCTGGATTTTAGTTGACTTCTTTTGTAAGGACTAAATTTCAAGCTGAAAATCATCCCTCCCACTTAGAGGCACCTTCAATAATGCATGCTGCAATTCAGCTGCTTTGCCAATGGGTTAACATTGCTCTTGTCCTAATAACTTTGGCAAGTGGCAGCACATGTTAGCAAGAGTTTAGTCTGGCAATCATGCATTGGGGAAGGGTATGAGACGTATTTGCAGGAAGTAGCTGAGCTATGTGGTTCTCTTGGTCCAAGCTGAACTGAGGCAGACCCTGAAAATGTGCTGATCATGCCATGTAGACAAAGCCACGAGGGGCTTGTGTTAACTGTTAAAAGCAACATTAAAACTGGTGAACTCAATTTTTCACAGAAAGACAGCTAAAAATCAAGCCCCTTAAAGGCTTTTAAAAAAAGCCGTGAAGGATTTTTTCTCTGTTGCCCTACAGACTGTGCTGTCATCAGTGGCTATGCCAAATGCTTATACATTTAGAGCACAAAGTATTGTAGTAGTCAAAAATGCATGTTCAGGGACAGAGTTGAGTTTTTCCACCTGAATTAGTGTATTATGGGACAAGTCATTTAATCCCTTGGAGACTCACCTTTTCCCAACTGTAATTTGAGGACATGGAGTCTTCTACAGGATACTCTGGGATAGCTATTTCATATCTTTTCAGTTCTCCAAAGAATGACCAGGTTGCTTGTTCTTACTGAGCATATGGCAGTAGGACTGTAGGTCACTAGAAAATCGGTGACATCCTGTATTGTGATTTACTGGTTGATTTATCCCTGCCAGGCTTTGTATGGGCACACTCAGGCAGTGACCTGCCTTGCTGCATCTGTGACCTACAGCATCATCGTGAGCGGCTCTGATGACAAGACCTGCATCATTTGGGACCTGAACCAGCTGACGTACATAATCCAGCTTCCTGCCCATGGGACAAGTATCTCTGCAGTTGCCATCAACGATTCAACGGTAAGACCTTCATTTATCATCTTTCTTCTGATGCATCCATGAACATTTCATGATAATTTAATGGGTGCTCTTCCCAACATAAAAACATCCTGAGAGGCTGATGCATTGATTTTTTTTTCCTTTCTACAGAGATTGCTAATAGTGTTCTTAATGATGAGAGGGGAGCACTAAAAGCAATATCTTAGACTGAGTAGCTAAGTAGAAACATCTTTGGATAGGTAGATAGCAGGATTAAACCTCTTTATTTAACTTGAGAATCATGCAGTATGATTGCTCTGATAGCTCCTGGATTTGGCTTACCCATAACCTTATTGCTTCCATTAACTTCCCTTGACGTTCATGCAGCAGAGTCATCTCAGCACAGCTGAGATGTTAGCCCTCAGTCTGCCATATCAGCTGGCAACTCTCTCTACCCTTGCTGCTGTTTTGCTTTCTCTTCCAATCTCCCCTGAAAGGGGGCTCTTAATAGCAGTGTTTGGGGTTTCATTTACCAACAGTGGAAATGAAAAATCTATTGTGGTCTGTGCTGGCCATAATGGCATTCGTATCGATAGGAAAATACCCTGTATTGGATTTAACTGTAAACACTTTGGTTATAAATTTTCTCAACCTTCTGTCTCCAAAGTATGCTGCTCATACATTTGTAACTTCTGTCCCTTGCTTATGCACAAGACCTGGATTCCAGCTTCTTGCACAGTTTGGGACCAGATCAGTTACTGGAGCTAAGAGAGGCAGTATGAATTCGTAGCAGTAAGAAACCAGGCAGACTTTGTGTGAGGCAAAATTGCATGTACAAGGAGTTCTACCAACCATGCAGTCTCATCGCTGGTAATTATTAAAAAGTGGGACTTCAGTGGTCTGTTCAGTGCCAGCTCCTCATGTAGTTGCTAGGGCCCAGTCTTCTGCAGTTTTTGATGTGTGATTATTGTTTCATATATTTGCTTTAGCATCTATGAGTTCCATCTATAGAACTCAGCCTCCTGGGGTTTGTATGATGTACACACAAATTAAAAATACAATCCCAAAGAGTTCACAATCCAAATGGAATTGTAAAAGTTTGCTGTCATTCCAGTTATTTTTATATCCCTGATCTAGATCTGAAAAGCATGTTGACTCTTAGCAAATGCCTGGGCATCATGTGCTCATATTCAGATAAAGTAGCTGAAGTCTAATCTCCTTAGTTATTGGCAACTGTGTTTCAAATATGCTGTCCTTGTTTATCTTTGGAATTCTGCCCCTCCATGTGAAGAGTGCTGGCCCCGAATCAGGCAGGGGTGAAGTATAGTGATAGATAATTTAAACCAGATGCACATAGCTAATTTAAGGGCACAGTGGCCTTTGTCAGAAGCAGATGACTTTGCTGATGCTCTTTTATTTGGCTGTTTTTTTAGTTTGTATCGGGGTGTTAAGTTTGGATGGAATTTCAGGTAGGAACTTGATAGAAATCAGTTTAATGAATTTTGTGTTAAGATTGCTTAAAACTGCAGCATCAGATTTTGCTCTTAGATCTGTCCATTTCCTGCCCCTGAGGATGTCTGTGTGGCTGCTCCTGTGTACAGCCCCTGGTAAGACTATGCACTTGCATTGAAAGGAGAGGCAATATTCATTTGCAAAGGGTATATTCTGTTTCTGGGGCATGGCTTGTTGAACAGAGAGCTGATCACTGGACAAATGCGTAACAATCTAAAAATGCGATGACATTAAGCTCCCTGTGAGGGGCAGAGGAGGATTATGAATTCACCAAAGGTTTAGCAGTGAACCAGGTGAACACAAAATCATGATTTTAAGGGAATGTCTATTTGTATGTCAGCAAGACTTGCAAGTGCTAGGTCTGCCCAAAACCTGTCCCGGGTCATCACAGAGTAGCCCTGGTGTGCAGATGCTTCTGCTGCAGCATGAACACAGTCCTCAGTCTGATCTCAGACAATTGGATGAACATGGACAGAACTTGTTCAGCCAGACTTGGATTTCTTTTCCCTGCTGAGGCATTGCTTAGCTGTTCTTTAAATAGGTTATACTAAAGTAAATATATAAAATTAAAATTCAGGCAGTCAACTCCTACTGGTTTTTGGATCTAAATATTGGAATCTCTTGCTGGTGTGCATACATGTTTGAATGGTCATACCTTGTTATATTTAAACAATTGGTACTTTATGAGGTTTGAAAATAGGATTGAATTCTGATATCAGTAAGCTTTGTCACCCAAAACCAAGACCGTATTTTTCCAGGATGGAAATTTTATCCACTGCCTAAGCTATACCTGACAGCCTTAGGTTTCTGAATACACATTGCTTTATTATTATTATTATTATTATTTGGCTAGCTCTGATGCATAAAGTTCTTCAGTTAATGTTAGTTCATTTAGGCCTGTAGCTAGCAGTGTCCCGCCGGGGTCAGTCCTTGGTCCAGTCCTGTTCAATTTATTCATTCATCAATGACCTGGATGAAGGCACAGAGTGCTCCCTCAGCAAGTTTGCTGATGATACCAAACTGGGAGGAGT